AGCGCACAACACACACACACACACACACACACACACACACACACACACACAAATATAAATTTGGCAAGATAAGTGATTATACATTGCCATTTTTTCAGTTTTAACTTAAACTGAGAGTAACACATGTTTGGGTTACAACATATAACATTTTTTAACTCCACCCATAAGAAGCAAAAACCTCTGATTGTAAATTTGGCCCCTGTGAAGCACTGTACTGCTTCCATCTTGCATTTTCCATTTGCACTGCCCATCAGAGTCACACATACATGTGCAGGTTCTGTGTCAAATGGACTTCTATGTTGAGCATCATCTCGGTGTTCAGCAGAACAGTCCACGGTATTCATGCCCCAAGGTGGCGCATCAGGTTGAGAGCATGACCAGGAGCATACTCATTTATTTTTAACCATAAGCCTTCAATTCATAACACAGAGCTTTACAGTCACTTTCTGAGAGACATCTAGAATCTTCAGCGTAAACAACCTGAACTGTGACGTTAGCCCATGGGGCATTGCAGACACAGCAGTTTCCCACCAGTGTTTGCCCTCCACCCCCTGCATGTGCACTTGTTTCCCAAAACATTTAACTTGTGAGTAAATGAGTGAAATTCAGTCCACCGTTTACTCCCAGGTCCTGGGAGCAATCTAAAGTTAACAGAAGCACAGAAAGTGACTCAGAGGTGAAATAGAAGATAACCTTGAAAGCTAGAGTGATTAAAGGTTATCACGTGAGGGCTGTTTTTGGTATTTTGCCTTTTATGGGTGGAGTAATGAAACATTGTTCCTTGCATTTGTAACACTACTGAATGCAGAAACTCTTGCATTCGTTGTATGACAGCTTCTATTTCATTTTTCAGTGGCTTGGAGGTTTATTTAGTATATTTTTATGAGACAGTTTATAACAGTGCTCATCATTCAGAACTTTTAAACCTTGACCAGATTAAACTGAGTTCTCCAGGATTGCTTTGAGCATATTTGTTTAACAATACAAAAACTAAAATTAAAAAAAAGAAGAAGAAAAGAATTAAAAACTAAATTTGATAATGAGTCACAGCGGCTCAGATTGAACTTGGCAGCAGGCTGAAAATAATAAGATGTGTGTATTACGGTCATGTGGTTGATGGAACGTTGCTGACGAAGCTGACATGAGAAGTGGCACGATATACATGAATAGCTACACAGTATATAAGCATTCACTTTTATGTTAACTTGGCCACTCAGCTAATGGAAGACTATTTCTGATGCAAATATATTTATTTTGCAAAGAGTAAAGAAAGTAAAGGACTGTATAAAAAAGACAAATAAATCTGTGAAACACACAAAAAAAAGGTTAAAAAGGTTTTCCATGTAGCTGCCTGGAGCATTTTTTTTTCCTGTGAAGTCACATAGAAAAATGAAATTTTAGGCCTGTGATTTTCAGGCCGGAAAGTGCTGAGAAATCATCTTTGGATGCCCCCGATAATACTGTCTGGTCAGCAAGGAAGGACAGGAGGATATACTCAATAAAAGAGCACCTCGTCACAAAATACTGGCAATCTGGCACATTTTTTTGGATCCCAGTAGCGGGCTGTGTGGTTCATCAGAGGACCAAAGTGACGATGTCACAGAAAACAGGAGGGCAGGAGACGCGTGAAGGGCTCAGATGAGGGAGATCCGTATAGGGATGGCGGGAGAGTCTGTCCTGTGATGAGGGGAGTGATGAGACACCACGTGTTCCACCACTGCGTGTTTAGACATGTGTTTCATAAGGTAGGTCTCCTGAGAAGAAGCAGAGGAAAGCTATTTAGATGTGACCGTTGCCCCTTAATTGAGGCTTAAAAATATGACTCGGGCTTTGAACTCACAGAGGTGTACGACCTGCCGCACATGCTGCAGCAGTAGGCCTTGGCGTTTTTTATGGCATGTGCAGACAAGTGGATTTGAAGTGAGGCAGAGTCTGAGTAGGCACGGTAACAGTTGGAACATTTGAAGGGCTTGTCTTTGTTGTGCTGCCTCTGGTGAGACTTTAGAGAGAAAACACATGCACACAAAGCCAAATGGTCATCAGGCAAGTTTAAGGGGAAAAAAAAAAGTACGTCAGAGTTCATGTTTACCTACCTGCAGATTAGACAGCTGCGTAAAAGCTTTTTCACATCCAGGATGGGCACATTTATAAGGCCGATCCCCTGTGTGGATTCTGAAACGAGACAAATGAACCAACAGGTGAGACGGGAAGCCGGCAGCTTGCAGATGTTTGCAATCTACTTAGTTTTGAATGAATTCAAATGATTGCTCAAGTTACAAGGACATCTGCACAGCAATGAATAATAAGTGTCGTCAGTGAGGTTAATTCGGTCATGGAAAGTGGAAAAAAAAAAAAGCCAGCAAAAAGCAACACAGATGCTTGAAAGAATGGTCAACCTTTAGAATAAAGTCTCTCCTTTGAAGCAAGAAAGAGACTTCTTTCCACTTTTAGGTCTGTACTTGATGATGGCGATGTGACATATATGCATGTGTCCTCAGAAGCCTTATTTAATACTGTGTTGTTTGGTCAGGCTGGGTGGTCTCCTTTGTCATATCATGAACTGGTAACTCATTTATAAGGCTATTCTTGATTTGTTCACATCTTACTCACTGACTTACATTCACCAAAAAGTTGAATTTAATTCAATTTCCTTTATATAGCATCAAATCACAACAACCGTTGCTTCAAGGTGCTTTACACAGTAAGGTAAAGACCCTATAATGATAAAAAAAAAATAGAGAAATCCCCAACAATCATATGACCCCCTATGAGCAAGTGCTTTGGCGACAGTGGGAAGGAAAAACTCCCTTTTAACAGGAAGAAACCTCCAGCAGAACCAGGCTCAGGGAGGGGCGGCCATCCGCTGCGGCCGGTTGGGGATGAGGCAAGGAAGACGGGACAGGAGACACGCGGTGTTAAAGAACCAAAGATTAATAATGTGAGAAGTTATTGGTTATTCCTTTAGTTTTCCCCAAAGGTTTGTACTGAATTTGGAAAAAGAGCAATCAAATTTTCAGCTTCTTTCTCCTTGAATCAGCTGCAGAATCAACTAAAACTTAAGGAACCGGTCTCAATTAATGAATTTAAGGCAATTTCAAGTGAGTTCAATGCAATTACTTTAGCCTGCAAATGTTTTTGCTGGAATATTATTACCTAGAAAATTACTTTTATTGACACCGAGGTTTATATATTTTGGTTGTTTCTGCATTTATTTATTTACAGCTGATTGCAAAGAGAAACTGTGACCATAATCTTCTCTTGTCCAAAGTACGTGTTCAGTATAAGTTCATGTAATTATCTGTCAAGGTGAAAAATGAAGCTGCCTTCATGACATGAAAATCTCTAAGTTCAACACACTTAGCTTACCCATTACTCTCACGTCATGTTAAAACCATGTGGACTTCTGATGGTTCTGCCTCTTGTGGACGCTCTCTATATAATCATGTTCATGACTTCTTGCTAATTAGTTTTGAGATTTTCCATCAGTTGATTCATTTTTAGTATTACACGACTTTTCATTCTTTTGTTGCTTGCATCAAACTTCAGAATGAACATTGAAAAGAAAACTATACTGTTTCTTAGTGTCTGGCTTTATTATGTTGTCATGGGACTATTTAAATTAAATACAGGGTTTAAATGAGTTTAAAAAAAAGATGCATTTTCTTTTCTTTGCTTGTACCTGGTTGGCTGCCCTTTTGCTTTGAACAGCTTTTAATCTTTACGGCATAGATTAATCGAGGTACTGGAAACATTCCTCAGAGATTTTGAACCATATTTATATGAGAGCATCACAGTTGCTGCACATTTGTCCGCTACACATCAACGATGCCAATCTTGCCACCACAAAGTTGCTCTATTTGATTGATATTAGGAGACTGTGGAAGGCCATTTGAGTACAGTGAATTCACTGTCATGCTCGTGAAACCAGTTTGAGGTGATTTGAACTTTGTGTAATGGTGTGTTATCCTGCTGAAAGTAGGCATCTAAGTACAGATGGGACTAAGGGGTCCAAACCATGCCAAGGAAATATCCCTCACACCATTACACCATAGTTTATGCCAAATTCTTACCCTACAGTCCCGATGTCATATCAGAATTTATGAATCTGAGGCCAGACAATATTTATTCCAATACACTGTAGTCCAGTTTTGGTGAAGTTCAGTTTCCTGCTCTTAGCTGACAGGAGTGGCATCTGGTGTGGTCTTCTTCTACTATAAGCTCATCTGCTTCAAGGTCAAAAGTAATGTTTGTTCAGAGAAGTAGTTGAACAGTCAAAGCTAATAAAATGAATGTTTATTTGTACATGTCACAGAGAATTCCAATCTTTTTGAAAACCGGGCTGCACAACAGGCTCAAACGTCAGCTCCTGTTCTTACAAGTTACCATTATTTATAGAGCCAGTTCACGTTAAATACAAAATAAATATGTCAAGTTCAAGCATATATTTTCTCTCCTGTTGTAATATTAAGTGATTATCCTCATTAGGAAACACTGAGCTGTAGGGGAAGATCCAGCTGTCACGTTAAAATAGGACTCGTGCATTTATGTTCCCTGTGCTTTTAGAAGATGACAACATAATTGCGAAACAAACTATCACAAATACACTGTAAACATTTCAGACCTGGTGTGCTGCTGAAGGTGGGAGAGCTGGCGAAAACATTTCTCACAGTAGGTACAGCGATAAGGTTTGACGCCCAGGTGTATGCGCAGGTGCTGGGCTAGGTAGGACGCGTTCGCAAAGGACTTGGTGCAGTGAGGGCACTTGTGAGCCTTCGCCTCTGTGTGTGTTTTGGAGTGAATCTGCATGTCTGACTTAGAGAAGAAGGTCAGCGGACAAACTTTACACCTGCGTCAAAAACAGAAACAGAGATGCACTTGTGAATATTCTTCCAACCCCCATTGTTTCAAAAAACAGCAGAAGTGTCGCCAAACCCCTTTGCACGTTAACGCCATGAGGAAGCTCTTTCTTGTATTAATACTTAATACTAATTAATACTAATGAGCTGCTGTAAATGCAGGTCTTTTGCTACCTGTAGGTTTTTCCCTCTTTGGCAGCAATGGTGATGCACGACTGGTCGTTGCCTGAGGCTAGAAATGGGTAGGGCACCACCAAAAGAGATGACCCATTCTCTGCCTTTATCTTCTTGCGTCCTCGTTCCTGCTTTGGAGGAGGACCGAGGAGTCCCACGAGTCCACCGCTGTTTTTCCCAGGCTCCATGCCGTGGCCGGCCAACCCTGAGATGAGGTGAGGGGAGGGAGCTCCACCCAGCCGGCTGTGGCTGCTTGAGGTGGGCGTGGTGGGGGTGATGATCTCCGAGGTGTTTAGGTTGCCTGTTCTGGATGCCAGCGCCACACCTAACAGATGGAAGACAAAGACATGATTGCAAAGTGTTTACCTTTCAGCTGGCATAAATCCAGAGAGGATCAAATAGATATTAAAAGATATTTCATATTTCCTGGGGTCTCCAAATGTTTCATTTTAATTTAACGGTGAAGATAGCATCTGTCTAGTGATTCATTAGCTTGTAGAACAACCTTTAACACCAATAACTTGAATTAAACGTTTTCTCTTTGACACCACTCTTCTTTACAGTGTGTCTTCGGTTCGCTGAGGTGAAATTAAGGTACTGCCACAAAATTTTGAGTTGTGGACTTTGTAACACTGTGATTTTTTCTTTTTCAGCCTTTCTGTTGTAGATGTTGCTGCTCTGCTCGTGATCTATCTTGTCCCGTTGCTGAATCTGGAATATTTTGGTATACAGAGGAGCTCATAGTTGACTTTAGGACCTCAAGGTGCCTCTTTCTGAAAAACAAGCCCAAATCATCTCCCCTCCACTACCATGCTTGACAGTTGCTATGAGGGGAGTGTGTTTAAATACTGTGCCTTATGGTCAAACATCCCCACTTTGTTTCAGGACTGATTTGTTCAGATGCAACTTTTCAAACCTAAGGTGTGCTGTATGTTGTTTTCAGAGAATAAAGGTTTTCTTCCAACAATCCTTCAAGCTAGTTCAGTTTCTCTGAGCATTGCACGGTCTGACCTCGGGGTGAATTTGCTGGGACATCCACTCCTGGCAGGAATGTGGCCTTGTGTTCACACACATACCTGAATGCTTCAGACCAGCAAACCAACAAAACTTCTACTTTTATAGAGCTGCTCTCACTTGCTGATCATCAATTATTCACATATTAGCAGCACCTGGTTTCTACTTACCCTTTAACTTCACATGGAAGCAGTAAAAGTGTACTAGTGTTTCCACTTTTTCACAGGACTGCACACACAAGTATTATTTGCCTGGCAATAGGACTGGCATGACTTCATTAAGCTGTGACACAGTTTAGGCACCTGGACACAATAATGCTGCACGTTGTAGCATGCCACAGAAAATCTATAAATTTGCATGTACAATCAAATGGAAATAACTTGATGCTGCATCTGAGTTTAGTTGATCCATTTTACAATGATAAATATCCCAGTCTGCAGGTGCTTAAGAGGACAGGTAGAGTTTAAACTGCAGTTCCTTAGTTTAGGTTACCATGTGGCTTTGCTCACATTGTCCACATCCATCCATCCATTTAAATTCTCTCATCTTAAAATACAATGTATTCATTATAAAGCTGTGAAATCTTAGTGTTTAAAGTTAGCTCTGTAAATATGGTAAAAGGTAAATGGCTGTTATCGAACACTTTGCTACTCAACTTAAGCACTTTATAAAATATGCCTCATTGACACCCATTCATTCAATCACATTTTCTGAACCGAAATGCTTTCTAGCTAACATTTATACACATTGATACACCAAGATGAATACACCGAGAGCATCTTGGAGAGCTGTATCTCACCAAGGATACTTTGGCATGGAGACTGGACCAGCCAGCCACCAACCTTTCGATTAGGTTGACCTGCTCTACCTCCTGAGCTACAGCCACACCCATAAATATGTTTGTAATTCTAAATAATCAATAAAATCTGCAGAAATCTGCATGGTTACCTGAGACGTGGTTTGTTCTGGAAGGATGATCTATGAGTTGACGCAGATGCCAGTCTTCCCATAATCCTCTGGCTTTTATAGCTGCCTTGTCATCTAGATTCAAGTTTACATCTCCAAGAATACGGCCTGAAAGACAACCACACACACACAGCCTGTGTAATTACAGACTAAATGCAATGAAATGACATTACAGTAAAATTATTAAAGAAATTTCACCAAATTTGAAGAATACACACACATATATGTGCGCCCTTACATAACTGTAACTTCCTGATATGTGGACATGTGAATAGACTTTTCATTACTAATTATATTAGCCTTTAATGAGGAAAATGACTCTTTGCAGGAGACTAAGGAAACTGGTGTGTACTTAGCGCTGGAGTACCTGTGACTGAGCTGGAGGCAGGGCGGGCGTGCAGGGCGATATCAGGCTGAGATGGGCTGTGGTTGTGAAGAACAGGCATCTGCTGGGCTTTGGATATCCCATGCTGGCCGCCTTCTGGCTGGCTGGAGGTAGCCAATAGAGGCTGCTGGGAAGGGGCTGAAGCAGGGGGCAGATGATGCGGTCTGATCTTCTCTGCCATCAGCTGCTCCTTGATTTTATTGATCAATACTAGGTTATCCAGCTGACAGCCAGAAAACAACATTTGTGACAAGAAAACAGCCATCAGTTCAGTCAGTCAGTTCATAAGGAAATGGTTCCCTCTTGTGGCTAACACCTGATATTACATGCGTTTCCAGCCATTTCCCTTCGGAGGCGCTTTTTTAAAAATGATTTTTAAAACCAGAAAGAAGCCCAAATAGGTAGTAGCTACTGAATAATGCAGAAAAAAATTAAAAATAAAACGTGACTTCCTCTGAGTGATCTTCAACAATCCTTGGTTTCAAGGTTTGTATGACTGTTATTTAAACATACACTTACACTTTCTCTATCTTCATTTTATTGACAGTATTCAGATGGGAAGATTTATGCTAACTGTGTTGCCAAAACTAATCGGCAGTTAGCACAACTTAGCTTAAAGAATGGAAAAAATGTTTTAAAAAAATAAAAAACTAGCCTAGCTCTCTCCAAATTAAAAAGCTTTTCCCCAACATGCCACACCTGTTTAACTGCAATAAATAAAAAACAAACAAACATGAAAACAAATCAGAATGTAGTTTTACCCGAAGTTATGTGTATATCTTAGCCACACAATGCTAAGCTATAAAATATTTCAGTGCTAACCACCTTCAAAATCACAGCTTTTTAAATATTAAATATTGTTTTTTCCCCAGGTTAATCGAATTACATATCAACATTTAAGGATTTAGTTGTGCTCATGTTTTTATTTAAATCACTGTACATACACTAGTTATGTGCTTTTTAAAAAAAGAAAAATTCATGCTAGGCTAAGCTAAATACTTTCTGGTTGTAGCTCTATATTTAACAAACAAATATTAAAATATAATTATGTCAGAAAAACTAATAAATGTTTCCAAGTGCAGTAAGGTGCAAACATCGTAAGCTGCCCCTCATTTCTGTATGTTTTGCTAGGAAAATAGATACAGGCAAGGTGATTTACTAAAACGTGCTAGCATAAAGGTAAAACAAACTTTTTTTTAAGTGTACATTTCTAACAAGCTTAAAGGCAAATATTTTCCAAGGCAGTGTTTAATTTTCAAGGTTGCCATTCACAACCTGAACTGTTAGGCAAGCTTTCTTTCTTTAAGTAGTCTTCAGGAATAGTTCTCCAGACTTCTTCAAGGACATTCAAAGCTCTTCTTTGTGTGTTGGCTGCCTTTTTTTTCTAGTCTCTATTGTGATGATTTCACACTGCTTCAATATTGTTGCGGTATGGGCTCTGGAGAGACCAATCCAATCTATGACTGATAGAGTTTTTATATCCAGGTATTCTTTTAATGCATTGGCAGTGTGTTTGGGATCATTGTCAGACTTTGAAATGCTTTCCAGTTGGTATTGCATGGTGGTTCAGCCAACTGCATTCATAATTCATCAATTTTGACAAGATCTGCAACAGTACTGGCTAAAATGTAGCACCAAAGTACGAAAGATGCTCCACTGTATTTTACGCATGACTGTAAACACTCACC